GTACGAATTCGCATGTGCCAATGCTGGGCGTTTACACCAGGCAACCCCGTACAGCAAGCACACACATTATCATCATACACTCGTAGCACACACCAAGGCATGCATGCGGCGTGTTGTCCAACCCCACACACCCATAACATTCACCGGGAACTCATGTGTTTGACATGATCCAATCGCAGACACCAGAAGAAAGTGTCAATCCTGGACGTCACTAGCAGTTGCCAACCACATGTGCTGGACATGCAGCAAGAGCGGACATCCGCACCACGCATCACCACACCATCGATCACAATTGAACAGCTACAGAAGCTATGCCCGTACACCAACTACATGTGACGTAACCTGTGATATCGCGAATGTTAACAGCACCACATGGGAGCAACGACACATCAATAACAGCACCAATAACCTACACATTTGGCAGAACGGGCGGACATACGGGGCACGGCACACATCATAACAATGCACGTTACTTACAATACAATGAGCGAGTCGAAGTGATATTTGTACCATCCAGATATCACATACATCATTACCTAACAGCGAAGACTGATAGGTTTCTAGTGGTCTCAAAAGAGCTCACAGATCACTCCACAGGGGGGTCCGGGCAGGTGTTGGGGCGTTTCCGGGCGGCATGAGCCGGGCTCGTTTTTCACCAACAGTCACACACTTCGTGCTCTTCGCCTTCCCAGAACTCCATTCCCAGGCCACATTCTGGGGGGCCGGATGCAACAGTCACACACAAAGTGCTCTTCGACATCCCAGAACGCCATTCCCGGGCCACATTCTGGGGGGCCGGATGCAACAGTCACACACTTCGTGCTCTTCGAGTTCCCAGAACGCCATTCCCGGGCCACATTTTGGATGCCCGGAGCCAACTGTAGGCCACTTCGTGCTCTTCGAGTTCCCAGAACTCCATTCCCGGGCCACATTTTGAATGCCCGGAGCCAACTGTAGGCCACTTCGTGCTCTTCGATTTCCCAGAACTCCATTCCCGGGCCACATTTTGAATGCCCGGAGCCAACTGTAGGCCACTTCGTGGTCTTCGAGTTCCCAGAACTCCATTCCCGGGCCACATTTTGAATGCCCGGAGCCAACTGTAGGCCACTTCGTGCTCTTCGAGTTCCCAGAACTCCATTCCCGGGCCACATTTTGAATGCCCGGAGCCAGCTGTAGGCCACTTCGTGCTCTTCGACTTCCCAGAACTCCCATTCCTGGGCCACATTTCAGCAGGGGCAAGAGCACGACGAGGAGGAGGACGAGCAAGACCAGGAGGACGAGGACGAGCAGGAGCAGGACGAGGAGCAGGAGGAGCAGGAGAAGAAGGACGAGCAGAGGAGGAGGAGGAGCATGAGGAGGAGGAGGATACGACAGGGAGGAGGAGGATGAGAGTAGGAGAGGAGGAGGAGGGGAGGAGGAGTACCCAGCAGGAGGAGGAGGAGGAGGAGGATAGGAGGAGGAGGAAGAGGAGGACGACAGCAGAGGAGGAGGAGGGGGGGAGAGTACAGGAGGAGAGAACGAGACCACCAGGAGGAGGAGGAGGAGGAGGAGGAGGAGGAGGAGGAGGAGGAGAGGAACACCAGGAGGAGGAGGACGAGCAAGACGAGGAGGACGAGAACGAGGACGACCAGGAAGAGGAGGAGGAGGAGGAGGAGGGGAGGGGGAGGACTACCAGGAGGAGGAGGAGGAGGAGGAGGAGGAGGAGGAGGAAGAGGAGGAGGAGGACGAGGAGGAGGAGGAGGAGGAGGAGGACGAGGAGGAGGAGGGGGGGGGAGAGCACCAGGAGGAGGAGAACGAGGACCACCAGGAGGAGGAGGAGGAGGAGGAGGAGGAGGAGGAGGAGGAGGAGGAGGAGGAGAGAGCACCGGGAGGAGGAGGACGAGCAAGACGAGGAGGACGAGAACGAGGACGACCAGGAGGAAGAGGAGGAGGAGGAGGAGGAGGAGGAGGAGCAGGAGAAAGAGGAGGAGGAGGAGGAGGCAGGCTGAAGCTGAGGCTGTGACTGCGACTGCCGTTGCCGCTGCGACTGTCATCGCGAATGCGACTACGACTGCGAGAACAGCAGAATTCGACAACTGGATTTTCATCTGAATCTTAAGGGGAATGCTTTCAGATATGCTTCTACACATCGCTGTTAGGTTGCTTTGCCGGGATAATTTTTTTTTCAACAGCGTGATGCGCCAACATAACGCGTTCATGGCTTCTTTCCAACACCGTGCACAACAAACACGTGACACGTGAACAGCATACACCATAATGTATAGTAGCACTGCGTGCCAAGCGCACATGATTAATACCCACCAGGTACAACCACTAATGGTATACATCAGCCATAGATAGCAGGCACATCCAACCACGACCACGCCTGAATTCCGTACAGCAAGCGCTGTCTCTTTGACAAACATCACGTTGTAGTACCAATATGAGGTTTCAGGAGTGTGCACCCAACACGTACACCGACATCATCATGGCTCATCATACACACCGTTACCATGCATGCGCGAACTCCATATGTGTCCACGCGACTCGCCAAAATTCTTCACGCTTCGCGTATCCCCACCAGACCATCTCAAAACAGCAACTCTTGCGAAGCATGCCGACAGTCGTGTTTTTCAGGCGTGTGTCCGCCTGCCCCCGCATATCTCCCCTGTTCCTCCTTCCTCCCGCCTCCTTGTACATCCTCCTTGTGGTGGGAGCGGGAGAAGGACGAGGCGGAGGAGGAGGGAGAGAAAGCGCTCCTCGTGGTTTGAGTCGTTTGGGGTTTCTCGTCCTGGTGTGAGTCGTTCGGGCCCTTCTTCCTGGTGTGAGTCGTTCGGGCTCTTCGTGGTGTGAGTCGTTCGGGCTCTTCGTCCTGGTGTGAGTCGTTCGGGCTTCTCGTGGTGTGAGTTGTTCGGGCCCCTCGTCCTGGTGTGAGTCGTTCGGGCCCCTCCTCCTGGTGTGACTCGTTCGGGCTCCTCGTGGTGTGAGTCGTTCGGGGCCCTCGTCGTGGTGTGAGTCGTTCGGGCTCCTCGTGGTGTGAGTCGTTCGGGCGCCTCGTCCTGGTGTGAGTCGTTCGGGCCCCTCCTTCTGGTGTGAGTCGTTCGGGCTCTTCGTGGTGTGAGTCGTTCGGGCCCCTCGTCCTGGTGTGAGTCGTTCGGGCTCCTCGTGGCGTGAGGCGTTCGGGCACCTCGTCCCCTTTTGGGGCGTCTTGGGGGCCTCTTGGCGGCCCCAGGGGCTTCTAGGAGCGTCTTGGGTGCCTTGGGGGAGCCTCTTCGGGCCTCGTGGGAGCCTCTTGGAGGCCGTTTGGGGCGTCTTGGGGGCCTCTTGGCGGCACCAGGGGCTTCCAGGAGCGTCTTGGGTGCCTCGGGGGAGCCTCTTGGGGCCTCTTGGGGGCCTCTTGGGGACATCTTGGGGGCCTCTTGGAGGCCTCTTGGGGGCCTCCTGGGGGCCTCTTGGGGCCATCTTGCAAAGAAGAGGGGGGCTTTAATTAGCGCTGCCCCTTCAGAAGGGCAACATGGGGCCAAAATCTTCGTAAAATCATTTGTTTTTGCTTGAAAGAAGAGGGGAGCTTTAATGAGCGCTCCCCCCTCAGAAGGCGAAAATGGGGCCAAAACCATAGTAAAATCAATGATTTTGGCTTCAAAGAAGAGGAGAGGTTTTTTCTGCCTCCCCCCGTCGGGGCCAGAATCCTCGTGAGGGGTGTCGTTTTTTAGCCCTCCCAGGAGTCGAAAATGACCCCCCCAACGACCCGCGGAGGGACCTCTCCAGGCCCAGGGGAGGGGGTAGGGGGAGGGGTAAACCCCTCCCCGAAGGGGAAGAAGGGGGTTGAGAACAGAGCGGGCTCTCTAAACCACTCACGCCCAAAGGGCTGGTGGGATTCATCAGTAAACGTGACAGAGAGTGAGAGGAAACATCGACGGCAGCGAACGCACATGACGGGCAACCGTACTACATAATCATCGGAACCGCATAGCATGAGCCCATATATCTTATTATAGTGACCATCAATAGGGCACAAGAAGCAGCATGCGTGCATCCCATACATACGATCACGCGCGACGACCATGTACACTTTCTGATGTGCGTATCGCGGTCTAGAGTCACACCAGACATCTTTCGAAACCATCTTCATCAGCTCCATGGTGGGGATCACCGAGGCAGCATCACATATATCATGATGCGGACGCCGTTGATGACGAGGGTGACGACGATGATGATGATGACGACGACGATGATGATGATGATGCTGATGATGACGATGACGATGACGATGACGATGACGATGACGATGATGATGACGACGATGATGATGCAGCTGTTGATATGTTGAGGATGGTCAGCGGTGACAATTTCGTTCCCCCCCCTCCGCTCCCCTGGCCCTTTCTCCACTCCTCCCCCTCTCCTCTCCTCCCCCCTTTCCCACGCCTCCTCCCCACTACATTCCGCTCCCCTCCTGTCCCCTCTCTCGCCCCTCCTCCCTCCCTTCCTCTCGCCCCCCCCCCCCTCCCTCCCCTGACAGCCTCGCGCCGTGCAGCGCGACACAATAATGTTGGACATGGAGGCCCTCGGACTCGAGCTGAAGAGCCAGCTCCCGGGCAAGCGTCCAGACAGCTGGCGGGCCGCGGCGGCGTTGTGAGAAATTTACGACGTCGGATGTTTGGGTCACCTTTCCCTACTCATCAGTTGTTGAAAGTAGGCATTCTTGACTTCCAAGATCTACCTTATTATTTGGGCGGGCCCGAACTCAATCTACTCTATATCCGCCTTCGCCTTCCTACTTCATATTTCTACCTACTTCTTCCGACCGGCGTTTACTCGTGCCCCCCCATTCCCTCGGGCATCTCGGGGTGTCCAGCGGCCACGGGGCAGTCACCGCCACGCGACCGACACCACTTTCGAGGAGGTGAGACGCCTCTTCTGGGAGGCGCTGGAGGACCGATAGACCAAGAACAGCCTCGCTCCCCCCGGCGGCAGGGCGGGCGTATGCACCAGGCCGTAACTAAGGATGGCCCTTGCCTGGCATGGCGGTGGTGTATATGCGCTTCTTGCGCGGGCGTGGTCACCGGATCCATTGGGGGCCGCCGAGCCATCTGCGAGAGGAGCGTGGCCTGGACTTTGAGGAGCTGCCGCTGGACTTCCTCCCCAGCAGCGCCAGGAATGGCGTCCGGAGGCCGGGCGACACGACGTACGTCCTCAGGATCTGGCACAGGAGCTGCGAGGGGGAGGCCGCAGAGCCTGCGGCAGCCCTGGAGGACACCGGGGAGCCCAGCCGTCCGCCGCCTCCTCGCCCTGGGGCGCGCCCGGTGCAGTTTTGGTGACCCGTGCGTCAGATTGCGCCTGGCCTGCTCGGGCGGCCTTCGGTCGATCATGCAGTGTGGGGGCCCACGCCAAGAAGCATCCTGCCTGCCTCCAGGGCGCCTCGGTTTTTTTGGGTTTCGATGGTTCTGTTGTGGACGGCGTGGCGTTCCCACACCAAAGATCAGCGGACGTCCTGGGGTCTCAGGGTTGGGTTTCTTGTGGAAGGTTTCTTGTGGACTGGCCTCCACTGTGTGCTCTGCCCCTTCCTCCTCCTCCTCCTCCTCCTCCTTTTCCTCCTCCTCCTCCTCCTCATCCTGGGTTGGGTTTCCTGTAAAAGGTTTCTTGTGGTCGGGCGTCAACCGTACCGCGGCCGCAGGTGCGGCGCCCCACCGTGCAACCGCGATGGACTCTTGCCGCTTGCGTCCACCGTGCATTCTGCGGGCAAGACGTTTATCCACATCCAGTTCGGATGCATCTCCTGGGAGGTAAAATTCTGTTTTTGCCCTGGTCCGAAATCCGACTTAATCCCGTTTAATCCCGCTTAATCCGGCTTAATCCCGTTTAATCCCGCTTGATCCGGCTTGATCCGAGGCCCACTCCAGCATAACAGCCCCCCAATGGGTAGTTGCCTCCTAAATCCAGTGCGTCCTGGAGTTTCGGGCTCCCTTCCTCCGATGCCAGAGGCGCCGTTGATATGGATAGAACACTTTCGCCCCTAAAAGTCCGATTTTTATCCATATCCACTGCACCGTGGCCTGTTGGCGCCCCTTCCCAGAAAATCCAAGACGCAGTGGACATGGAAAGAATTCGTGCCCGCACATTCGAGGATGGCGACGCCAAGAGGCCGGGCCCACGGACGGGATCAGGGCGCCCCGGGGCCGTGCCCTAAGTCTCCTTCCGAAGCACGGCATGAGCAGCCCAGAAGTTCGCAGCCGGCCGCCCCAGTCGGGCGGGTGGTAATGGGGGGTGACCTAGATGGGGGGTGAAGAAAAGGGCCCTTTTCCTCACCCCTCATCTAGGTCCACCCCTTCTGAAAATGAACCACACTCCATTCGTGAAGCTCGTGCTAACTATTGAGACGAATGTGCGCGGCACTGAGGTGAGATCCACATTATGAAAAGGAGCCGTCCTCCCTACTCACACCCTCGGAGGTGCGACAGGGAGGAGTTACTTCTAAGGAAAAGGATTCAGGATGACGAAGACGACGACGACGAAGACGAGGACGAGGACGAGGACGACGATGACGGCGACATTGACGAGGAGGAAGAGGAGGTGGTGGATGACGAGGAGGAGGACGAGAAAGCGGAGGGGGATTACGAGGATAACGAGGACGAGGATGGTGAGGACGAAGTGGAGGAGAGAGACGAGACGGAGCAGCGTAGGAGGTGGACGAGGACGAGAAGGAGGCGGAGGACGAGGCTGAGGGCGATGAGCAGGAGGAGGCCGAGGACGAGTCGGAGGCAGACGAGGAGAAGTGGTACGCCGAGGACGAGGAGGATGCGGAGGACGATGCGGAGGAGGCAGGACGGAAAACGCTCCCGGGGTTGGCAAACGTTGCCGCGTGCGGCCAGGCGTCTCCGAGGGTCTCCGCTGCCCGGCGCCGTCCTCGACGCAGGGGGGGTGCTCACGGCGTGCCGGCGTGCTTGGACAGTCCCTCCCGCTCGCAGCCGAACTGTCGCCCTCTTCGACCCCCGGGCAGCATTTTGTGCGGGCCCCAATACTATACACCACCACCACCGCAATTCCCCCTCGCTCCTCCACCCTCACCTTCCCTCTTCTCTCCTGGGAGAGGGAGGGGATGAGGGAGGTGGTGGTGGTGTGTACCTTTGGGCCCCGCAGCTTGTCCCCCAGGCAGCACCTAAACTCGGCCAGAAAAAGTCTGGTCAGGCTGAACTCGGCCAGCTGGGCACGGCCAGGCTGAACTCGTCCGGTTGATCTCGGCCAGGCTGAACTCGGCCGAGGTGAGCTCGGCCAGGGCCGAGTTCGGCTTGGCCGAGCTCAGCTGGCCGAGTTTAGCCTGGCCGGGTCTCGCTTGGCCGAGTCTTTCCATTGCCTCCCCACCGCATCGCGTCGTCAATCGCATCGCGACTGAAGGTTTTTTACTACGTTGCTCGTCCGCCAGAAGCCTTTCCCGGGGAGGACGAAAATCCAGTCCTATGGAGGGGCCGAGACCTCGAGGTGTTGTCCACGTTGCAGAAAAGCAGGACGCCTGGGGTCTGGGTCCGCCAGTTTCCTCTCCTCCTCCTCCTCCTCCGCCTCCTCCTCCTCCTCCTCCTCGTGTTCCTCCCCCTCCTCCCCCTCCTCCTCCTCCTCATCCTCCTCCACCTCCTCCTCCTCCTCCTCCTCCCCCTCCTCCTCCTCCTTCTCCTCCTCCTCCTCCTCCTCCTCCTCCTCCTCCCTGTCGCACCCCGAGGCCAGTTTTTAGGGCGGGCCCGACGTTTCTCCTGAGACGTCCTCACCACTTATGACTCTGAAGCTTGAAAAGTGGCAACAGTTTCGCAGATGGAGGGCGGGGCGTTTTCAACATGTGGCTCTCGCCTTAGCGCCGCGCACACTCCTTTTAAACATTCGCAAGAGCTTCACAGGTTGAGGGTGGGTGGTTTTCAACATGTGGCTCTCGCCTCAGCGCCGCGCACATTTGCTTCCAAGATTTGCAAGAGTTTCACGGGTTGATGGCGGGTGGTTTTCAAATTGTGGCTCTCGCCTTAGCGCCGCGCACATTCGTTTTCAACATTTTCAAGAGCTTCACGGACTGAGGGCGGGTGATTTTCAAACTGTGGGTCTCGCTTTAGCGCCGCGTACATTCGTTTTAAGCATTTGCAAGAGTTTCACGGAGTGATGGCGGCTGGTTTTCAAAATATTGTTCTCGCCTTAGCGCCGCGCACTTACGTTTTCAAAAAGTTTGCAAGAGTTTCATGGATTGATGGCGGTTCCTTTTCAGAATGTGGTTCTCGCTTTAACGCCGCGCACATTCGTTTCTAAACATTTGCAAGAGTTTCACGGGATCCCGTGATCAACGTACCAGAAAATGTGTTTTGGAAGGATTCAGGATTATGCTAGCGCAACAGTTATCTTGATTCGCTGTGTTGAAGTCCCCAAAATGGCGTTTTGGCACGATTCTGAATCGTCAAGACGCAGCAATCAGGTCAAGACGTGGCGTTGAAATCCCGAGAACAATGTTTTGGCACGCTTCAGGATATTCAAACTGCTGTCTTCCAACGAGGCAGTTCCCTCAATGGAAATGAACTGCTGTAGAGGCATATGAAGAGGGAGCTTGGAGGGAGGGTTAATTCCAACATCGTTGATGACTCTTGGATTTCCACTGGTTCTCCTCCTCCTCCTCCTCCTCCTTCTCCTCCTCCTCCTCCTCCTCCTCCTCCCCCTCCCCCTCCTCCTCTTCCTCCTCCTCCTCCCCTCCTCCTCCGCCTCCTCCTCCTACTCCTCGTCCCACTCGAACGGACCCTTGTCAGGCCATCCCTGCCTTTTCACCCGCCTGTATCCCGCTGACTTTTGGGCCCTGGGCCTGGCCAGGCTTGGCGCCCGCATAGCTTGCATAGCACACCGCATACTTTTCATTTCGCATACGCGTTGGTAAAACAGTGCGCGTAATTATCTTCGTTTCCATTCCTAACTTGTTACTCTAGTTGGTAGCGGAGCTTCGGCTCCCTTCCACGATGTTCCATTCTTCTCGCGTCATCTCGATGAAAACGTTCTCCCATTCCCTCTACACGAACCCTGTGCTCTTCCGCATATCGAGTAGCATACTCATCAGTATAGCGTTGTACCTTTGCTCCCCGCGCGGCGCGGCAGGGAACCCGATCCCGCCGCAGGAACCCAGCGATCCGGGAGCAGGCGCGACCATCGTGTACAAGTACGACCACCAGAAGATCTACGACGGCACCCGGCAGGACGGCGCCGGGGAGGGAGGGCGGGGGCGCGAGCTTGTTTGGGATGTCACAATGAGCCCAGTGCGCGGCGCCACGACCGCCCCGTACAATCACTCCATGAGTGTCCCGTACATCCCGAGAGAGCCAGATGCGACCATGTCGCAGGCAACCCTGGATTCTCAGATGTCATGGTCTCCGCCTGTGGAGATTGCTGGTGACGTCAGTCTTGAGATTTACTCCGAGCCCGCGCTATCAGTGTCAGAAGAGAGTCCAAGGGGGACGCCTACGACTGCGACTGCGCTGACGGCTACTCCGAGCACGCCTGCGACCGCGAAGACTACGCCTCTGGCCACAATGTCTTCGCCTACGGCGTTGCCTACGCCTACAACTTCGTTTACGCCTGCAGCTACGACGGCGGCTCCTACGGCGACTCGGGATGCGCGCGGCGCCAGTGCCCCGCAGAGTTGGTGGGCCGCCAATCCCAACCTGCGCGGCGCTGCCCGGGCCCAAAGAGAAGGACGCTCCATGAGCGCCCTCCTCGACAAGGCCAAGCCTGGGACAGTCATCCAGCACCGCAGTTGGCCGGGGCCCGATCCCGCCGCAAGTTCAGCGCCCAGCGCCAGCCGCGGCACAAGAACGCGGAGACGATCGCTCGTGGCGCAAATCTCTCGTATCGCTGGCGCGACGACCCTTCGGTGAACCGCGATCCCGAGGAGGCCGACGAAGCAGGGCGTGTCAGGGGCCACTATCCGCGTCGACTCCGAGGCAGCCTGCCGGAGCATCGACGATGGTGGATCCCAGGAAGCCATGGGGGTGCTGCTGAGAGGCCTCAGCCTGAGCCACAAGTGGGCACGCCTCGTGGCTGGGGCCCTGCTTGTCATCTCCCGCGCATCTTGCGTGGGCGCAGGCGGAGGCGGCAGCGGCAGCATCCGTCGCCTCCGGACCTGGGGGCCCGAGCAGCAGGCTCGCGTGCCTTTCAGTCGATGGGTCCGGGAGGTGATGATCTGGTCTGTCGCGAACTCCGGCGTGAACGAGTTCCGGCAGGCGGCCTGCGTCTCGTCGCGCCTCACCGGCATGG